CATGGGTGACCCTGCTGGTTATTTAAAACACCGGTGGCATAGCCCTCAGAATCACAGCAACTCAGACCACCACAGCACGACAGACAGACGAGTATTCGATAAGAATACACAACTAGAAATGCATTTAATGGTTGGAATCGAACTACTGCTGAAGTTCCTGCTCAAATGCTCTCTCCTTTTTTGTAAAGCCGTACCTGTTTGATGAAGCTAATTGTATTGTCCTCCCATGTTTTCATATTATCATGTATTGACATGTATTTTTGTCACAGATCTGAGCCCATTACATTTGTTGGTTCAAAAACTTGTTCATATGGTAGAATAACTAACCTAGTGTTCTTTTAGAAAGCTGTGAGGTGTCAATATATTTAATCCTGTCATACACACTAGAACAATTTGTTAGCAGAAAAATACTGTTGCTGTTATTAGGTGCCATCAAGCTGGCTCCGACTCATAATGACCCTCTGCACGACAGCGGAACTACTAGCAAAAGATGGTCATAGGAATCACAGTTACCATTTATATACCAGCCTGAGTAGTGGTTTAGAGCATGGATTCTGGAGGCAAAACTTTAGACTGAAATCACAGCTCTGTGTCATTTAGAAGTTGTGTTACTTAGCATCTCTATACTTCATTTTTCTTATCTATGAAATGGGAAGGATAATAATCTTTTCTCAAAATGTTGTTATGAGGATTAAATGACTTTGTTACAAGTGTTTGCTTGTATGATGATTCATGAACACACATGTCACATTTGCAGTTAATCCGAGGATGAATGACTTTTCTAGTCACTTACTGTTTGTGCCACGGACAGATAAATTGTTGCATTTTATATCCTTTCGTTAGCACTGGACTGCCATCCACAAGGTCAGCAAGTCAAACCCACCAGCTGTTCTTTGGAAACCCTATACAGGATCGCTATGAGTGGGTTCAACAACAGCATTCATAAGGCTACCTTCCTAGTTACTATATAAAGCATTTATGGGCTCTCAATAAATATTTATTGAATATTTATGCAAATGGAGGAGGGAAAAAAAGAGTTCAGAAAATCCAAACTAAAGAAATTAATGACTTGTCCAAGATTTGACAAATAACTAGTAACAGGGTCTAGACTAAAACTCTGATAGTGTAGTGGTTATGAATCGGGCTGCTAGTTCAAAACTACCAGCTGCTTCGTGGGAAAAAGGTGAGGCTTTCTGCTCCCATAAAGATTTACAGCCTCGGAAACCCTGTCGATCGTTATAAGTTGAAACCTACTCCATGGCACATAACCACCACCATCCTCACTGTTTTTCAAACAAATCACAATACTATCAAGAATTAAAGTGTATTGATCAGGGGAGGTTTCTAAATTATTTATAAAATCTGGTTGGTATATGAAAAAAGTGACAGCTCATTTGAGTTTTGTTTTGTTTTGTTTTAACGTATTTTTAAGGTACAATGAAAGGCTTCTACACTTTCTGTATTTTCCTTTTGGTGTTTGGAAGCTACTCTGAAGCAAAGTTTGATGATTTTGAGGATGAGGAAGACCTAGTAGAATATGATGATAATGACTTTGCAGAATTTGAGGATGTCATGGACGATTCTGTGACTCAGTCTCCTCAAAGGGTGATAACAACTGAAGATGATGAAGAGGAGACCACTGTGGAGTTGGAAGGTCAAGATGAAAACCATGAAGAGGATTTTGAAGATGCAGACACCCAGGTAGGTTCTCTTTGATTTTCCTGGGCATGAAAAAGATAGGAAGGTTTAAAACTAGCACTTTGCGGGGCATTAAAAGTAAGACCTTTACTTCCTGAAATACGTATTTTTGTTCAATAGGTGGAGCTCTTGTAAAAAAAATTTGTGTTATGTTCCCACCTTTTACATTGATCACATAATGAGCTGGATTTTTCTTCTCCATCGAAACTCTGTGTCTGGGAGGGACTGGAGAAATGATACTGTGGGTGGGAATTTTATCATGTAAAAACTCTTGTTTTCAAAAGCACAGGGTGTTATAATTACTTTTAAAACATGCACTAGCTCTGTGTTCTCTGCTTGGCCACTTGTGTGTTCTGCTTTCCTCTACAAATGTTGCCTACAAAAATGAGGCATGATTACTGGCAATTTTTGTAGGAAAAAACAGATGGTACTTCATTTTTGTAGGAGGGAGATACCGAGAGTGAGCCATATGATGATGAAGAATTTGAAGGTTATGAAGACAAACCAGATACTTCTAGCAAAAATAAAGACCCGATAACAATTGTTGATGTAGGTATACAAGATTCTGAATTTCAAACTAACTAATAAAAATACCTTGCTGTCATTTTGCCCAGAAATGACACTAGTGATATTTGTGTTGAAATCACATTTGTGGGAACTGGGAAAGTTTGACATTGGATCTTTTGATACATTCCACTCCACCCCTGGAGAATCAATCTCTAGATTTTACTCTAGACTTCCTAGTTTTATTTTTCAAGGAATGAATGAAAGGATATACAGTAGATGTCTTATGTGATGGAACTCAGAACCAAGCTTAATAAAACAGACTCTCCAGCTTTTCATCCCAATATGATTGTCTTTATATTTCCTTAAAGAATCTTTCAGGTAGCTCATCTAGAAAACCATGACTGTTTACAGATTTTCTCATTCCCCTTCATCCCATGTGTCAGATTCCATCCTTCAGCTGCCGATGACTTTAAATAGAATGATTGTGCTTCTTAGGTCCCTGCACACCTCCAGAACAGCTGGGAGAGTTATTATCTAGAAATTTTGATGGTGACTGGTCTGCTCGCCTACATCATGAATTACATCATTGGGAAGAACAAAAACAGTCGCCTTGCCCAGGCCTGGTTTAATACTCATAGAGAGCTTTTGGAGAGCAACTTTACCCTAGTAGGTAAGTTAGGCCTATGTCATTCCAGTTGCCTGCTTGCAAGCCCTCTGGTAAGCACACTTTCCTTTCCTTGGTATAAGAATCTAACTGCTTTGTGGACTACTGAAACAAACATGCACCTTTTTTTTCCCTCCCAAGGATCCCATTTTTTGTTAGATTTTATTCAACAAGTTGAATTTATGATATAATTTCCTTATATTTCATTAATAATTTAACTACTAAACAGTTTCTGATTACAATGAGACCATCAGTATCATTAAAATAAGTTGATAAAACTGTGACCAAAAGCAAGAAATGTTAACATTTTAGTTAGCTTGGTAAATGCTTTCAATTTATCTTTTAGAAATACTGGAAATCCCTGAAATTCCTTCTGGTTCTGAGTACTTTCACTTCAGACCCACTTACAGGATGTGCACTGAAGTATTGATGGGACTCCAGTAGTTGTGTCGGCAGTGAACTCTCCTCACATTCCCTTCTATTTGGCTTTTCTTGCTTTATTTCTCTTTTATTGAACAAGTATTATCTCTCAGCTCTTTAGGTATTGGCATGCATTGTTTCTTTCTCTCTCTCTCTGTCTCTCTCTGTAAACCATCTCTTGACTTTTTACAGTAGTTGTTGTTGTTGTTAAGGGTCCTTTGAGTTGGTTCTTACTCATAACGACCCTGTATAGGGTTTCCAAGGAGCAGCTGGTAAATTTGAACCACCAACCTTCTTGTCCAGTGCACCATACCACAGTCTCCATAGTCTCATACAATATTTCTCTTTTTGTGATTAATTTCACTCAGCAAAATGTCTGATAGGTTCCTCACGTTATGAATTGTTTCATAAATTCATTGTTATTCTTTAGCATACATTGTATATTTAATCTTTACAATAATTCTGTCAGTTGGATATAGTTTCCATTCTCCAAAGGTGGAAACTATGGTATAAAAGTGTTAAAACTTGCTTAAGGTCATATGGATAGTAAGTTGGAACCATAGTATTCCAAAGTCCATGTTCTTCCCATTGTACCATAGTGTTTCAGACTCCTATTTGACCTGGAAATTAGTTAAAAGTAAATAGCCTTTGACTGCTTCCACTTCTTCTCATGAGTGTTCATTTGGCACATCAATCTCTTTTGTACATTTAATTAATCAAGTGGAGAGAAGAAATTACTGGAATTTGAGCTTTTCCTAGTTCTAAAATAAAATTCTAAATACCATTGATAAGGTCCACTTCTCATGTTGCTGTTAGAGAAGTGGTTCAAAAGTAAAAGATGAACATTGCAAACTGGTTAAAGTTAACTCTTAGGAGATTCAGTGAGAAATATTGAATGGTACAAACCAATGGCATTCTAGCTCACTGCATAGTTTTTAAGGTTTGACAGAGACGTTTAAATTGATTTTACCTCATTTTGTATCTATTCTGGAAAATGCACGTTCTAAGCTGATCATCATAAAATTAATAAGGGTGTTGAAATAATGCTACAGTCTCTTTTAAGTGTAAAAGAAAAGATGTCCATCTATTTTATAACCAATGTCCCAAGGAAAGCTCTGGAAGATAGCAATGGTATTGCTGCTTTAGAGGTGTGATCATTTTGAGGACACAAGGTGAGGGTGGTAGTGATTAGGCCCCAACATTCTCAGTGAACCACATTAATTGGTTTACCCCTAGGGGATGATGGAACTAACAAGGAAGCCACAAGCACAGGAAAGCTAAACCAAGAGAACGAGCACATCTACAACCTGTGGTGTTCTGGCAGAGTGTGCTGTGAGGGCATGCTTATCCAGCTGAGGGTAAGCTGGGACATTCTGGGACAATGTATAAATTCTCTTACTCTTTTCCAACTGTAATTCCTAATTCGCTTTCTTATTTCTTCAAATTTAACCTAAAATGAGGTCTAAAAGTCATCTAACAAATGAGTTGTATGTTTGATGAAGCCTTTGAATTCCCCTTCCAAAGACCCTATCTTTATTAGAAGCAGAAGTTGCAACTTACTTCACTTTAATTTTTTCCAGTTCCTGAAAAGACAAGACTTACTGAATGTCCTGGCCCGGATGATGAGGCCAGTTAGTGATCAAGTGGTATGTATTCTTCACCTCTGATTTTCTGAGGTTGAATGCATAACTTTTTAGAGTTTACTCCATTTCAGCCTACATTTTGTTTGAAGTTTCTGGTAACTTATGTCTCTTGCCAAAAAATTGTCCCTTCTCTACTTGGACAGATCATTTTGTTTCACTTAGTTTACAATCATAGGGGTAGAGGAAGAGGGCATATATAAACATTTGCCTTCTTCCAAGTACTAATAATTATTTGATCTAAACATTTTAAGTACTTAACATGACAAATAGAACCATGTTTTATCATACTTGATTCTTTAAGCTTATACCTTTTATCTCTGAGACCCAGTGTAGAATGTTAATGAATGTTTATGTGCCCAACTTAGATCTCCTTTTTCAGATTTGAGTAGTCCTGTGTGAACATACATTAGTTGTCTATTGCTGTATGACAAATTACCTGAAACTTGCAGCCAGGCAAAATTCAGCTCCTTTTGGTTGTAGGTCCCTGTTTTCTTGCTATCTGTCATCTGGGAACCACATGACCCCCTGCATAGATCCTCTCACCCTTCAAGTCTCTTCAAGTAGGACCCAAACCCTTTAAAGAACTCACTTGATTAGGTCAGGCCCACCCAGGACATTGTCCTCTTTGATTAACTGTGCTGTTTAATGTAATATTATCTGGGGGTGATATTCTATCAAGGGGAGGATATGTCTACCAGGGGCTAGGAATCTCGAGGCCATCTTAGAATATTTTTGCCTAGAACCTAACAGGTAGGATTTATGTGTTTTTTAAAGCAAATAAAAGTAACCATGAATGATGAAGACATGGATACCTATGTGTTTGCTGTGGGCACACGGAAAGCCTTGGTACGACTGCAGAAGGAGATGCAGGATCTGGTATGTGAGGTGGTTCCAACTCAGACTTCTGTAGAGACTGGGCCTCTGCATCATGTAGGTGTTCAGCTGCATGTTGTTGTTGTTGTTGTTAAGCGCCAGCAAGTCGGTTCCAACTCACAGCTGATACTGGGTTTCCAAGGAACAGCTGGTGAGCTTAAACCACTGACCTTGTGGGCAGCATAATTATATTACATGACCATCATTAAGCACCTGTACATATTCTCATGAGTTTAAAACACCTGTATCTTCTGTGTGAATACAATGTCATGTCTTACTTTGAATTACTTTGTCCTCTAGAGTGAGTTTTGTAGTGATAAACCTAAGTCTGGAGCGAAGTATGGACTGCCGGAATCCTTGGCCATCCTCTCAGAGATGGGAGAAGTCACCGAGGGAATGATGGATACCAAGGTAAATGCAGAAGACATGGCATTTGTAGACCTGGACAATTAGGGTTGTTGTTGTTGTGATGTGCCGTTGAGTTGGTTCCAACCCATAGCGGCCCTATATAGGGTTTCCAAGGAGCAGCTGGTGAGCTTGAACTGCTGACCTTGCAGTTCAAATGGCTTTGCAGTCTGGCGCACTAACCCACAGCGCCACACAAGGACTCTGACAATTAGGGTTGTTGTTGTTGTTGTTAAGTGCCATCGAGTCGGTTCCGACCCATAGCGACCCTGTAACAGGGTTTCCGAGGGTGTAAATCTTTACGGGAGTAGAAAGCCTTATCTTTCTCCCGCGGAGCGGCTGGTAGTTTCGAACCGCTGACCTTATGGTTCACAGCCCGATTCGTAACCACTACGCTACCAGAGCTCCATGTACCTTCCCTGAAAGTCTCATTGTGTGAGTTCTCCATTTTATGATGGTGTACAACTTACATATTCATTTCCTACACTAATATTAAAATGCCTTCTTTAAGTGATAGATTAACTTGTCAAAAAGACAATTTGATTAGTCAGAAAGTTCTCTTTTCCAAATCAAGAGCAATTATTCCTGGCATTGTTCATAACTTTCAGGAGGGTTTTTGAAAAACGAAATCCACTTGAATCCTCTCAGCGTGTTCTTTAGTCATTTCTTGGCACTTGATGTATAGAGAACCCTTTCTTTGGTTGTGTAGTAGTAACAGTACATCTTAATATCAAAGTAGAGGAAAGCTCAGAACCCCCTGCTACTGAACTGATTCCAACTTAGGACAACTTTATAGGACAAAGTCAAACTGCCCCATAGGGTTTCCAGATGGAAGTAGATTGTCATCGTTCTCTCACGGAGCCACTGGTGGGTTCAAGCTGATGACCTTTGGTTGTTGGGTTAGCAGCCAAGCTCTTTAACTACTGTACCACCAGAGCTTCATCATTCTAAATGTAAGTTCAAAATGATCTGTTTATAAAGATTCCCCTGGTGGTATTTTAGATTTTATATATGTATATAGTTTAGTTTATTTTTGCTGCTATTGAGAATATATGCGGGGGCTTCAAAAAGTTTGTGGAAAAATTCCATTATCTTTTCTATTCAATTGTTCCATGAACTTTTTGAAGCCCCCCACATACACTACAGAACATCCACCAATTCAGCAGTTTCTACATGTACAATTGAGTGACACTGATGACATTCTCTGAATTGTGCAGCCATTTTACACTCATTAACATAAACTCACTGCTTTCTAAGTTTCCTATCTAATCTTTCAAATTGCTGTTGTCAGTTTGAGTCTAAAAATTTCACAGTGCTCAAGGCAGACATACTTTACTAGTTAAGCTAAACAGTGTTTTGGTTTGGAGTCCTGGTATGGTACTGTAGTATAAGCACTGGACTGCTCCTTGGAAACTCTTTACAGGGTCACTATGAGTCAGAACCAACTTGACAACACTTAACAACAACTGTTGCTTGGTTTTTAAGAAGACTTCAGGGAATTTCTTTTTTTTTTTTAATGTTGTGTTGTGAATTATGTGATAGTTTACATGGGAGAACATTAGCTTTACATTCTTCCTATCGTATATCGTTTCATTGCCATGGTTACAGTCCCCTCCATGCATCATCAAACAACCAAAGAGTATACCCTGCAAGCCTGTCCCCTGGTCATCAGCACATAGCCCCTCTCCCTATCTGGATCTAGAGTCCCAGCTGCTCCATCTCTCTACATCATCGTCTCTGCCTCCATCTCTGGCATCACTTTTTTTCTGAGTAGGGTCCTACATTCTGCTCTTCTCCCTGGATGGTCCCAGGGACCTCCGCTCCTGGACTACAAAGTCAACCACTCTCCTCCTTTTGCTACAAAACGTCTGCCTTTATATTTCCAACCCTCACAGTCAGTCTTGATAGCAGTTATTCACTATTGTGCCACATGAGTGCTATCCCCATCTCCTTGCATCAGCCCCGCCCAGACAGATTGGATACCACTCAGTGGATATTCTACCTTCCTCCGCGCCCTCTGGATCTAGGCTCCCTCTTGAAAGCTTGTAAACCAGTCATGTCTTGCCTGTGTAGCCCCCCCATTTTGGGTAGCCAGTGTCCAAGTTACCCATCCCTGTCTATCCTGTGTATTGAGGGGGTAGGAATGATCTTTACTGTAAAGATTTGTTCCCTCTTTTGAGCTACTGCATCTATAGGTGAAGGTCAAGTTCATCAAATGGTATCAGATTACCCTTTTTTCCCTCTTCTTTCTTCTTCTACTTGAATTCTGATCATCCAGCCATTGAAGTCAAGTCAAGTGGGTATTATCTGCAAGTGTGGGTGTTCTTATGCATATGCCCTCTCTTCTTATCAGCTGGACTCTTCACTCTCTATTCTAGTCCTCTGTGGCTTATGTCACTGACTCTGGGCCCAGGAGTCCCCAGGTCTTGCCACACTGTTGACCAACCAGGTCTCCACCCGAGTTCACAGGAGTCTGTTGAACATGGTAGGGCTTAGCTTGCAGCTTCATTGCTGTTTTTTCCTCATTTCCCCTTATTGGTGACCAACATGGTCACCAGTCAGAGTGCACGTCTGCTTGTGTATCCCCACTGAGTTTTAGTCTTGGAAGGGGGTTTGCCCTGAGGGGACCCAAACACTTGCCTTGATGTCTCCTGGGCAAGCAACTTGCTTGTTCTTGTAGTAGTCAGTCAGACTGCCGTTATTGTTTTGTATTTTTCCTGTCAGTCTTTCTTTCAAGAAGTACCTTCTGTTCTTCCAGCCACTCCAGGCTGGTCTGCTTGTCCTTTCGAGTGGAAATTTCCCACTTCAGAAGATTCTGGATGGGGTTCAGTATTCCACCTTTGGTGTTATGTAATGCAGAGGCTCCACAGGAAGCCTCCTTCACTGGACACGTTGTAGCTCCATTTTAGGTATTCCAATCAGTTATAGGCAGAAGACGGACTTACAAGCTTTCTATGGTGATATTTCTGGCTGTTCCTTTCTCTCCCCCTCAAATGTCTATTTTATAATGATATGCAAGGGAAACCAATATTCAAAAGACAGCCAAGCATCTTAACATTGTTTCCCCCCTTTGCCCATTCCAACCATGCCTCAATCTTCAGGGAGTATTTTTGGCTTAAGGTTTGAAGATTAGCTCAGGATATTAGTGTCAGGGGTTCATCTAGTCTCCATGACGCCACAAAGTCTGGATTATTTTAGAATTCAAAATTCTGTTCCACATCCCCCACCTCCCACCTTTAGATTTGGATTTTCCTGTAGACTGTTGAGTAATGGCAGTTAGGCATCTGAAGTTCTTGTTTCCTAGTAAAGGAGGCTGTTGTTCATGGAGTCAATTGATCACATATCCCATTTCTTTCTCCTATGCTTGATAGTTGAGATTTTTATCATTATACTTTCATTCTTGTTTAGTACATTACAGTTGTCCCTTGGTATCCACAGGGGACCAGGACACTCTTCCCACTACCCCCCTATGATTACCAAAATCTACAGCTGCTCAAGTACCTTATATGAAATGGCCTAGTATTTGCATAGACATCCTCCACATACTTTAAATCCTCTGTCAAGTATAAGTAACCTGTTGTTGTAAGGTCCATCAAATTGATTCTGACTCGTTGCAATCCTGTATAGGGTTTCCCAGAACAGCTGGCTAGTGGGTTAGAACTGCCAGCTTTGCAGTTACTAGTCCAGTGCTTATATTACAGCACCACACCAGGGCACTGTAATTCCTAATACAGTGTAAATGTTATATAAATAGTATTTTATGCTCCATCTTAGCCTTTGAGGGGTTGCTTTGACTATTTACTGCTTATATACATATATGTAAAAGCAGTAACTATATATATGTGTGTGTATATATATATGTATTATTTGTCTATGGTTGGTTGAATCCGCAGATGTGGAACCTGTGACTATGGAGGGCCAACTGTATTTTAAGACAGATACTCAACTGCTGCTCAACAGGAAGAAACTTAAGCATTGGTATGACCAGAGAAGGGTACTAGTTTCATTTTAGAGGCATTCTTATTTAAATTTAATTTTTTTTAAAGCTTTGACCTTGATGACATTGGGAAAAAGGATTGAAGGATGAATATCTATGGAAAGAAAAGGGAATGTGCTTTAGAAAGATAATTTTCTTTTTTCTTTTTTCTTTTTCCAGATGGTTCACTTTCTTACACACTATGCTGACAAGATTGAATCCGTTCATTTTTCAGACCAGTTCTCTGGTCCAAAAATTATGCAAGAGTACGTATGAGATAAAAATGTTGAAATTCATTTTCTTTACTAGCTTTCTTGATTGAAAACCTGCAGAGTGCGTCTGCAATTTCCCTTACAAAATAAATAAGGGAAGTTGGTGACAGGGATGCAAATTGTCTTTTACTTTGACTACATGCATTGTGCCAGGTCACTGAAAGCCTGTAGGAAGTCAACAAATGAACCTATCCCAATTTGCATGTATCCCTACATGGACCCGCCATCTACTCAGGAAAGTTGACTGACTGGTCATAAGAAAGTATAGTTGCAAATCTCTATGGTTTATAATTCGTGGCTTTTTCTGGCTTCCTTCTTGATTGTATCTCTTCTAAAGTTTTGTCAGAAGCTCTCAATACCTATAGAGTGTCTGGATTTCAACTAACATGACTCAACTGTACATATTTGAGGTTTAGATTTGCTCTTTGAATTCATAATCTGCTCAACAGGAAACATAATTTGGGCAAACATAATTTCTCAAAACTTATTCTTGATTTACAATTTCTCCTGACCTAAATTTTTAGTTAAGAACTGCCCTCTCCTAGGCTGTAGAGTCAAGTACAATGAAAGGCAATCTGTATTTTAGTTCTGTGTCAAGTTGACTCATACCCATGTATCTCTAGATGGCATCACGTCATCCTTGCCTTGCTTAGCTGAGGGGTAACTCCAGGAGTTAAGTACCACGTGTGACATTCGTTGAGCCCTTGGTGTATACGGATGGGGACGGCTGGATAGTTAAAGATAGAAAGGAGTCTTTGGTGACCACCGAAACTAAATTGCATATTCCATAGTAGATTATCCCTAAATTTATTCTGAATCTAAGAAGTAACATGTTCCTTTATAGAAAGAAAGCATAGGAGTTGGAAATAAAACCCATCAAGATAAGCAAAACCACTATTTAAAATATGGGCTCATTTCTGGCTCCCCAGGTGAGATGGGCTGTATTCTTCTCGGAGGTTTTTAAGTTTAGGGTAAAGATCACTTGGAAAACTATTGCAGAAGGATTGTACCCACCAGAAAATGAGTGGGCCAGATGACCTGCATGGTTCTCTTGGGCTCAGATTAGACTTGATTGTGGGGATGCTGTGCCGATTATCATCAACATTTGAGTGCATTGTGTGCCTTGTATGCAAGGAAGAGATCTTTCCTGTGTACTTTTTTATTAAAAAAAGCTTTTTCTTTTGTGGCAGGGAAGGTCAGCCTTTAAAACTACCTGACACTAAGAGAACACTATTGTTTACATTTAACGGTAAGTGTTCAGGGTCAGGCCTGGGTTCTGTGTTTTCTGTGTGGCGATCTTATGGATGGAGAGTATTGTACCCTATCTGAATGATAGCCACAAGGGGGCTTCAGAAATTACAAGGGGAAATAACAATGAAAAGATAACGACATTGTTTTAACTTTTTGAAGCCCCCTTGTATAAAACTGAAATAACACTAAACCCATGACTTCCGGGTTTCTTCAGAAAGAAATTTTTTTGTATTTTTATATTTCTAATTTCTACTGCTTTTAAACTGTGCCTAAATGAGGAAGTAGGATAAACACTAGACTGCTAGCCACAAGGTTTGGTGGTTCAAACCCTCCAGCCACTTTCTGGAAACTTTATCCTGGGTCGCTAGGAGTTGAAACCTACTAGACAGCACTTAACAATAAGAAGAGAAAGGTATCTATTGATTTTTTTTTTTTTTTTTTTTAAGAAAAAATTGGGTGATCCTGAAATATTAAATGATTTTGTTTTCCAGTGCCTGGCTCAGGTAACACTTACCCAAAGGATATGGAGGCTTTGCTACCACTGATGAACATGGTGATTTATTCTATTGATAAAGCCAAAAAGTTCCGACTCAATAGAGAAGTAAGACCCAAAATCTTTATTATAAGTTGGCACTTTTCATTGGTATTGGGTGGTAGTTGTTTATTCCTGGGGGTCCGATTTCAGTGATTACAAAGAACTACTTGTCTTGAAAATGCTAAATATTTGGGAGTAGTTTCACAAAAGAATACTAAAGGAGATTTTGTGTCTATCGGATACAAATGAATTTCTTAAAAAATGCTTTGCTCTTGCGGAAAGGGCAAGCAAAAAGCAGATAAAAACCGTGCTCGAGTAGAAGAGAACTTCCTGAAGCTGACTCACGTGCAGAGACAAGAAGCTGCACAGTCTCGGCGTGAGGAGAAGAAAAGAGCAGAGAAGGAGCGAATCATGAATGAGGAAGATCCTGAGAAACAGCGCCGGCTGGAGGTAGATAATCTTTTCTTATCACTAGGGTAAAAATAAGGAGACTTACAGCCCAGCTCTAAAACTTTAACCCTTATAAATGCTGATCAAAAAAGAGGAGGAGAACCAAGTTCTGGAGAGGAGGGTTTTAATGAAAATAATGATGAGGATTAAAGAAAATTCCCAGAAACACTGAGTTACTGTATTATGGACCACAGTTGCCTGGAGTCAAAAGTGCTGCTGAGGGAAGCACCCAGGGTGCCGCAGATCTCTCTGAATCTTAGCCCTGTTCTCATCATCATTGATTTGATTTGGTTTGGTTTTGTCAATGGACATTTAAGTTTAAATAAATAAATATAGCTCTGTGTTTATCCAATCTTTATAATGTTTTTAAATGTATAAATATGAAGAAACTACATAGGAATCGTTAATAGATAATGCCTTTCATTTGTCTGTGAAAAGAGTTCTCCAGTTCTTTCTAAGATTTGAAACTACAATAGGTTTAAAGAAAAAGGAGGGCACAGGCTTAACTTGAGTCCAAATGTAAGCTTCTTGTGGATCTAAACCATGTTTGTTTGTTTGTTTATTTCAAAATACCACTTTACATACCTAAGTCTGGGAGCCCTCTAAGAAGATCCAATGAACTAAATGAAAACAGAGCCAGGAAAAGAAAACTATAATTAATTTATGACTTCAGTGGCCTATTTATACAAATGACCTGAACCTACCCACCACTGTTAGTATAGCTTTTGACATATACGCTGTTGTTACTTGTTACTGAGTCCGCCAAAGGAAGTGGGCTCACTTCTGCCTCTGTGAATCCAGATTCCTAGAGTGGTGTTACAACAGTGGTTCTTGCTATGTACACAACAAACAGTACCACTTCAGGTGGATCAGTGTTCAGGTTTACACTGCTGTGGTGTTGCATAGGTTTTGTCATTTAGTATAGGAACCTAACCACAGTCAATAGTTTCCAAATCACCCTTTGAAACTTGATGTGTTATATCATCCAGAATTATACCTGCATGCACGTACACACACATCTCTGCTTCCCTTTTCCTTAAATGAGGGGGCTTCAAAAAGTTTGTGGGGAAAATGGGATTAATTAAAAGGCAATGGAATTTTTCTACAAACTTTTTGAAGCCCTCTTATATTTCTTCTAATTTGTACCAGTTGATGAGTATATCTTTGAGGATATTTCTACTCTAAGCTCCTAAGAAAATAAGCTTGAGATTCAAGCTGAAATAAGCTTTAATCAAATGTTAGTGAACACTGGTAACTAGGAGAGATATCCTACGTTGACAGATCTCTATGGCTGCTTCATACTAGTAATAATAACCAGTGACTTTTGCTATGAAAATAATGTACTTAAAGCTATTTTTCTCCTTCCATACAACTTCCTAATTTCTTACTGAAAATACAATAATTCCCAAATTGAATAGTCATGAATTGAAATATTGTGTTAATGTATAACATCTATACAACTAAGAGGTTTACAGTTAATAACCTGATAAAACAAGATTCTTACCATTTTCTGCAGTACAATCCTGAGCAGTTGTATCTATAAGTATACCTCTGAGATATTGCAGATTCAGTTCCAGACCACCACAGTGAAAATAAAATCACACAAAATTTTTTTAATTTCCCAGTGCATGTATAGTCTGTTAAATATGCAATAGCATTTTTTTAAAGTTTGAACTAATGTGCAGATTACCAAAATGTGACACAGAGACAATGTGAAATGGATACAAGCTGTTAGGGAAATAGCACCAGTAGACATGTGGGACATAGGGTGCCCCAAACCTTCAATTTGTAAAAATGCCATATTTGTGGAACACAATAAAGCCAAATGCACTGAAACAGGCATACTCAATCAACCATAAAAAACGTTAAATAAGTAAACAATAAGTGAACTTTTAAACACACCAAAAAAAACCCCAGGGTTGTGATAAAGCTGGACAAGAGTTTCCTGAGAGTAGGAAAACTCACCCCAGAATAATAAAGTCTAGTTAATAGATGTTGTATTTAGTTTCCCAGTTGACATTTTAGTTCCCTTTGCTTCATTTCAAGTTAGCTTTCATTCACCAACATAGATATTAGCAGTTTCTTTTTAACTAGGATCTGAAGTGTCATGTATGACAGTCTAAGTTTTTGAATCATATAAGCAACATTCTAGTGTTTTGCTTTCTCTTTACATGCTTAGAGCTCAGTTTTGATTCTTTGTCTCTGTAGGAAGCTGCCTTGAGGCGTGAGCAAAAGAAATTGGAGAAGAAGCAAATGAAAATGAAGCAAATCAAAGTGAAAGCCATGTAAAGCCACCCCAGAGAGTTGAGTCCTGGTGCCGTTTGTAAGCTCTGAATGCACAGGAAGCTAGAAAAACGCCAGTTCATTTCTCATCATTAAGTTCCACACTCCCAGTGACTGAGAAATTCTATCTCATCATTTGTTCTGCATTTGGTTTGGAGTATTGCAGAAGCTGTAGATATATTGGAAGGGCTCTGTTTCAGTAATTTTCTTCCAGAAAATCAAACTATTTTGATTATTTCATAAAGGGAATGATATGTGAAATCTTTATAGTTTTAAAATATTTTTTAAATTATAAATGAATCATCAGTGCTTTTAGTGCTTTGATGTTTGAAGAAATATCATGAATTTATAGTTAATTCAATTGTTGCTTTTGTTTAAACTAGGCAGTTAAAATGGCTATGAAGACTGACTCTTAAACCAAGATTCCACAAATAACTATTGAAATTGCACAATAAACATTACTTGTTATTTTCTCTTTTTGTCTCACATAAAACTTGTGAAATAGGAAAATTTAGAACACTATATGTGGTATTGAAATTTCAGGGACTCAAACCATAACTAGTTCAGTGTATGTTTTATAGGTGGGCGGTGCTAATGCCAGTATTATATATGTAGGTTTTAGGATACAGGCAGTCCCGGGTTATGAATGAACTCCTGTCCCAAGTGTGTCTGTAAATTGAATTTGTAATTCAGAGCAGATGCATCCGATTCTGCTCTGCTTCAGCATCAGAGCAGTGTATCAAAAAGTTCAAAGCCTCTTCAGTCATTTAAAAGCTGCTCATGCAGCAAAGGGTAAGGTGATTGTGATAAACTTGTTGTGAGTAAGGGTAGGTTTAATTGTCTCAAAATTAGGGCAAATTATAGAACGAACCTTAAAGGACAAGTATGCGTTACGGGTAAGCCAGACATTCATAACCAGGGACTTACTGTACTTACGCATACATGAAAGTACTAGGGATAGCCAGTACAGGAGCACTTTTCTCCTTACCTGATATCATGAGCTAATGACAATGTGAATGCTGTATTTTAAGTTGTTGTATGGTTTTTTTTCCTGATAACAAATGCATGAAAAACTGTTTCATTTGGATCAGATCTGTGAAATCTCAAATGTTCTCCTCCTTGGTTGCTGCAGTCTGTTGGATGTTCATGGAGAAATGACTTCTCTGAATTATGGCTAGATAATAGACCTTTGCTTCTCCCTCTGTTTGATCCCTTCCACAAACTTGAGGCTGGGTATATTCCTTCAGAGAAATAGCCATGGATATGCATAAATATATTTTAAACAGAGCTTTCCTAAACTATTGGGAGTTCTTTCTGCCTTTTGAGGACAGAACTCTGGAGGGAGGCCCATCTATCTGCACAAGTATTTGGCTTGTTCAGATCTCTGCATTTTATAAATGCTTCCTACTAAGAAAGCATTTTTTTTTTAAGTCACTGCTTGTACCAGGTAATTTTTGCTGGCGATGGGAGAGGGTTGGGTTTTTTGGTGGGAATGGGGTGGGTGGGGGTTTTCTTGTTGATGCTGTATGTGCAGGTCTGTTCTGAGGCAATGACAGTAAGTGGCTGTGTAAACAGCATGTGCTTCTGCCTTTGTAACTGCATGGGACGTTTCACTTGGGTGTTTCTCAAGATTAATGCAGAAATGTCAACTGGGAGATGCAAGTGTAATATTTTTTAAAAGTTCATGGAATTAAGTTATTAAAATAACAAAAATAAATTTTAATCACTTTAATGCTCTATTATCCTAGAACTAGCCTTGTTTATAAATCTTTAAAATACATTTTAGAAATCAATATTGATATGTGTAGCTATCTTTGGATTGATAAAAGCTTTCTTAAAGTTCCATACATCTGGACCATGGCAGCTAATTTTGTAATTTAGGCATTCATATGAACTACCTATGGAAGTATATTAAACTAATTGACAAAATCGCAGAGTGCCGCCTTTACTTTTCTGAGGGTGTCCCATAAGCACATAGAAATGTTCTTTTCTGTTCAATAAAAATCAGCTTTTTTTGTTTGTTTCTTTTTGTATACTTCCCAGTTTAAATGGTTTTCTTTCAAAAGAGTTGATCTTGAACATACTCCCTTTGATGTTACCAGTTATCTTTTTTTTAAATGTTTTCTTTATTTAGAGCTCCATGCGTTAGGGATTCCTTCCGACAGTCCCCACCTTTGTCTCTCTTATGTATAATGAGAGGATACAGTGGAGAATGCTGTCTGCTGTTACACACTAGAGAGCTGCTAAGCCCGCCCCCCAGGCTCTTCAGCATTGCGTGGCCACCTAGTAACACCAAACACACACTGGTCTGGAAGGCATGGATCTGGATTTGAGTGCCGGCAAAACCAATTACTAATCATTTGACTTTGGGCAAGGATTAAACTCTTTGAGACTGTTCTAGTCTTCTTTTCCATATCTACCTCATAGCATTGTAGTCAACATCAAGAGAAAATACAAGTGAGCTTCAAAATATTCATGGAAAATGGAAATTAAAAGACAATGGAGTTTGAGAATGTAACAAGGAAAACTGTGTAAATTGGCTTTTTGAAGTATATCCTTCCCTTGTGCACATCTCCAGCTCCCATTAATTTTAATGGACATAACTTACTCATCAGCAAAGGATTTCACCTGCTTCTGTGTAAAACTGCGTAAATGAAAGGTGCCCACAAAGAACTGAAGTTGCTGCTAAAGATTGCCAGGATAATTAAGTCAGGGAACATTCCAGTTAATTAAATACAGGTTGTTGCAGAATACTAAATGAAGAAGTATTATGGAATAAAGCAAACTGAAAATTTAAAAAGGAAACACTATTAAGGACAGGCTTGTTTGTATCCTCCACTGCTTACCCAGTCAAAACTCAATACCCTCCACTTAACATGCATTGTGAGCTTGATAACAGATAATATCTTACTTCCCACAAAGCCCAAGCCTTCACACATGTAGCATTCTACAGATAGTAGTTGAAATCAAATTGACTACCTATTGTATTCTAAATTGATTGCAACTATCTGAGCCCTAGCTCACAAAGATCCCTCTGCCTGTCCTCTGAAGCATCCAGCATCAATCTTCAATTGAAGCCAATTCATAAATATACTATTAGATGCTAGGAAGTTTGTCTGATCCTCCCAGGTGAATGCTGATGGACTGGTAAAGTCTTGAAATTCCATTATAGTACTAAAATTTACTGAAGATCCCAGAAAGGTTTTGTTTCTATGAATTATACCTATGGATATTTACCATATTTGTAATTAAAACTGAAAAATAGTCGATTCATTTAAAATACCAATAAAAATATTTACATATTAGAATGAATAGCATATTTATATTAAAGATGGGTATACTTTCCAAAGGAAAAAGAAAATGAGTGGTATTGTTTGATATTTTATAGATCTCTTAAAAATCTCTTCATAACAATAGAAACATACCTGTTTTCTACACTCAGGTATGTTACAGTACATTGTTCTGGTTGAAACAATAGAAGAAAGACTGGCCTCACGTGACATGTAAAAGGGATAGGAAAGAGTTTTTGTCGTTTCTTTCAGATAACTGTATATTCTTTCTTTTTTGATACACCAAAATTTACAAGGAAATATATATATATATTGAAGTCCCCTTGTATATGTAAGATGTACTTTACTCTCTTGCATTCCTTTCTCCCAATGAAAGCCCAGCAGATCCTTTCAGAGTCCTCAGACTTTATGTATAAAAATTGACAAGGTACTTTGAGGGGTGAGGCAAGTCTTTTAAAGAGAATATTCACTTTCCTTAGTAATAGGAAACCTGTCCCTTCAAGCATCAGGTCTGAAACTCCTTTCTTTGGATGGGACTAATGAATGATGCAGAAAGCATCAAGAGAAGATGGAAGGAATACACAGAGTCACTGTAAAAAAAGGAAATGGTTAATGTTCAACCATTTCAAGTGGTACCATATGATCAAGAGCCAATGATACTCAGGGAAGAAGTCCAAGGTGCATTGAAGGAATTGGCAAAGAACAAGGCACCAGGAATTGATGGAATAAAAATTGAAATCTTTCAAGAAAGTGAGGCGGCACAGGAGGCACTCACTCATCTCTGCCAAGAAATTTGGAAGAGAACTATCTGGCCAATTGATTGGAAGAGATCCATATTTGTGCCCATTCCAAAGAGAGGTGACCCAATGGAATGCGGAAATCATCGGACAATCTCTTTGATATCTCAAGTGAGTAAAGTTTTGCTAAAGGTAATACAGAAATGGCTACAATCATACATTGACAGAGAACTTCCAGAGGTTCAAGCTGGATTCAGAAGAGGCCGTGGAACGAGAGATATCATTGCTGATGTCTGATGGATCTTGGCTGAAAACAGAGAATATCAGAAAGATGTTTACCTGTGCTTTATTGACTACGCAAAGGCTTTCGATTGTGTGGATCATGACACGCTATGGACAATATTGCAAAGTATGAGTATTCCAGAACACTTAATTGTACTCATGAGGAATCTGTACCAGGACCAAGAAGCAGTTGTTTGAACAAAGCATGGGAACACTGAATGGTTTAAAATTAAGAAAGGTGTGCGACAAGGTTGTACTCTCTCACCATACTTATTCAACCTGTATGCTGAGCAAATAATCCAAGAAGCTGGGTTCTATGAAGAAAAACGTGGCATCAGGATTGGAGGAAGACTTATTAACGACCTGCAATATGCAGATGATACAACCTTGCTTGCTGAAAGTGAAGAGGACTTAAAACATTTATTGATGAAGATTAAAGAGCACAGCCTTCGGTATGGATTACATCTCAATGTCAAGAAAACAAAAATCATCACCACTGGACCAATAAAAAACATACTTACTGTCGGGGACCCGCCTCGACATTGGGGTTCAGTTCACGAGGAGAGGATACCTGACGGCGATTCATATATATCAAGAATACACAAAAGGAGACAGAGAGACAAAGAGGCACCCCAAAGCCAGGGTGGATACATCACTGATAGGCAAGCTTGGGACTACAGGCATCGTGGCCTCTGCAGGCAGCAACTCACTGCCCTGCAATCTTTACTGCATGCCTTCCAACCCATAATGCACTGCCATCTTTACTCTATGCCTGCCATCCAGCAATGCACTGATCTTTACTCCATGCCTGCCAACCAGTAATGCACTGATCTTTACTCTATGCCTGCCAACCAGTAATGCACACTTGGGGAGGCCAGGGTCTCTGCTTTATTCAAGGGAGGAGCTTCACATCAAGCTGGGAGGGACTTAGGCAAGGTACAGCTAACATCAGTACTTTTCCAGACATTCAGGTAACTTTACATAGTACTTCGTGGTGGTTCGAATCCCAGGCTAGCAACTTGGTTTCTCAGGCCCAATTAACATATCTATAGCTCCTGAGCATAGTTGGGGGAAGGTGAGAGATAAAGACAAAAGCTTGGGCAGAGTCCTGCTGCTTTGGCTTCCTGAGCCAGGTCTGCAGGAGGACTCCAGACAC